AACTGGGAAGGTTATTTCCTAGAAAGGCCTCTCCAAGGAGATACTTTTGTTTTTTCATTGTTTTTTTTTTTTTTGAAACGGGGTTTGGCTCTGTTGTCCAGGCTGGAGTGCAGTGGTGAGCCCAGCCCTGACAATTGTATTCTTATCACCTGTTCAGCAAAGGGTCGTCAGATGCTTCCCGCACTTGGAATGGATTATTTCCTCATTTGTTTTCCCTTCTATCCAAACACAATCCTGCTTTGTCCAGAAAAATATTTCCAAATGGTAATGGTTTCTGTGTATGTGTTTCAAAAAATTTTACATCAAATTTGAAGTATAATACACATATGGCTGGGTATGATGGCTAATGCTGTAATCCCAACACTTTGGGATGCCGAGTCGGGAGGATCACTTGAGCCCAGGAGTTGGAAGCTAGCCTGGGCAACATAGTAAGACCCCCTGCCTCTACAAATAATAATAATAAATTAGCCAGGCATGGTGACACATGCCTGTATGTAGTCCCAGCTACTCGGGAGACTGAGGTGGGAGGATTGCCTGAGCCTCACGAGATGGAGGCTGCAGTGAGCTGTGATGGTGCCACTGCACTCCAGCCTGGGTAACAAAGACCTCAACTCAAAAGAAAACAAAAACCAAAAAACAGACATCAAAAAATGCACAAAACTCAAGTGTGCAGCTCAACGAATCATTGCAAAGAGAACCCCCATGCCACTGGGACCCAGACGAAGAAATGGAACCCAGCCGGGCTCCCAGAAGTCTTCCCTTTGCCCCTCACAGTCACTCACTAGCACCCTCTCCAGGGTAACCACAAGCCTGACTCCTGACACCAGAGATGAATCTTGTCTGTTGTTAAATGTTAAAGAAACAGAATAACACAGGATGTAGTCTTTTGTGTCTGGCTTATGTTTGTGAAATTCATCCATATTTTTCATAGCTAGAGTTTATTCTTAGTGCTGTATAGTGTTCCGTTGAATGAATACGCCACAGTTTCAAATAGTTTTTTTTTTTTTTTTTTGAGACAGCGTCTTGCTCTGTCGCCTGGGCTGGAGTGCAGTGGTGCAATCTTGGCTCACTGCAACCTCCACCTCCCGGGTTCAAGCAATTCTCTGCCTCAGCCTCGCGAGTAGCTGGGGTTACAGGTGCCTGCCACCACACCCAGTTAATTTTTGTATTTTTAAAAATTTTTGTAATTTTTGTATCTTGGCCAGGCTGGTATTGAACTCCCGACCTCGTGATCCACCTGCCTCAGCCTCCCAAACTGCTGGGATTATAGTCATGAGCCACTGTGCCTGTCCAGTTTTTTTTTTTTTTTTAAACAGCTTTCCTGATAATCTGAGCATGGTGGGAGGAGAGCAGAAGCTGGGTTTGACCCACAGGCACGTTTTGTTTCACACACCTTGTGTTTTTGTATCGTTTTCATTGAATTAGTTGCTGATGAAGATGGATATTTGTCTCCTCCTGAAGAATCTGCCGTTGCTGGTCCCCAATTCCAAGTGCCTGGAGTTGAGTCCTGGCTGCCTCTTCCCAGCTCGTGCATTCCATTCCCATTTGCCACAGTCCCCACCACTCCCTGTTGCTCTAAAACCACTCACTGACATCACCCACCTGGCCCTGTAAACATTTGAGTCTTCCATTCTAGCTTTAATTCAGCAGAGGTGGCCAAAATGCTTTATTCTAAGGTCTGCACAACAGTGGGCTAACCAAGCAGCTTAAGTTAGTTTATACGTGGCCTCCATGGTGTTAAACTTTGGGATGCATATTTCAGTGTTCAAAAATGTATTGTCATTATTACTATTTCAAAAATGTTTTAAAATATATTTCCATTATTATTATCATCATTATTGACATTATTACTGTCTCCAAGATGTTTTAAAAATATATTTGCCTGGTGTGGTGGGCTCACGCTGCTAAATCCCAGCACTTTGGGAGGCTGGAGATGGGCAGATCACTTGAAGTCGGGAGTTCGAGACCAGCCTGGCCAAAATGGTGAAACTCTATCTTCTTACTAAAAATACAAAATGCTGGGCATGGTGGTGCATGCTTGTAATCCCAGCTACTTGGGAGCTGAGGCTGAAGAATCGCTTGAGCCCGGGAGGCAGAGGTTGCAGTGAGCTGAGATCGTGTCACTGCCACTCCAGCGCTGGGCGACGGAGCGGAGACTTCATCTCAAAAAATAAAAAATAAAAATATATTCAAATATATAGTAGAGGTCAAATTCAATATGGCAACTCTGGACCCAGATGGCCTGGAATCAAATCCTCGCTTTACTACTCAGGAGTTATGTGAACTCAGGCAATTACTGAAACTTTCTGTGCCACTGTATAAAGAGAGATGTTAATATTTACCTTGCTGGGTTCTTATAAAGATTAAATGAGCTAATACTTGTAAAGTCAGTGCCTGGCACAAAATAAGTATTCAACATATATTGTTTGTTTGTTTGCTTGTTTATTTATTTATTGTGAGATGGAGTCTCACTCTGTTGCCCAGGCTGGAGTGCAGTGGCACAATCTTGGCTCACTGCAACCTCTGCCTACCGGGTTCAAGCGATTCTCCTGCCTCAGTCTCCCAAGTAGGCAGACTTACAGGCATCTGCCACCACTCCCAGCTAATTTTTGTGTTTTTAGTAGAGATGGGGTTTCGCCGTGTTGGCCAGGCTGGTCTCGAACTCCTGACCTCAAGTGATTCGCCCGAGTCAGCCTCCCTAAGTGCTGGGATTACAGGCGTGAGCCACTGTGTGGGGTGGCTAGCTATTTATTATCTTTAAAATTAGTATGGCAAGCTGATCATTTGACCTGCTGGGGTGACCAACCATCCTAGTCTGCTGAGACTGAGGAAGAGTTTCAGGACACAGGACTTTCAGAGCTAAAACTAGACAAGTCCTGGCCAAAAGAGGATGAGTTGGTCACCCTAGCCCTGCCTGACGATAATATTTCACTCCAGTTTAACAGACTGATCTTTTACTTTTATTAAATTACAGGCTTGATGTTGAAAATGATATTCGCACTACATATTGTAGAACCCCCCTCAAGCATCCCTATGGTATAATTTCTGCAAAACACTAATCTTGCTTACATTTTCCTCATGTTACAGATTGGGAAAGTGAGGCCCAGGGGTGTAAACCAGTGGCAGAGCTCTTCCCTAGACCTGTTGTGAAGCCACTGCCCCATCACCTGGTGCTCAACATGCACTAGGTAACACTGTAAGTGATTTTCATTAAATTTAATCTCATATAATCTTAGGAGGTGGGCTCTACCATCATAACCATTTTAGAGATGGGATGCTCGTAGCTGTCTTCTGTCCCACAGACTCACCCATATCCCTGGGATTAGAATTCATTCATTCTGTACATCTTGGCCTGATTGTGGTTTCCTTGGAACTTTTGTTACAGGGAAACCCACCAAGTTTCCTGGGTCTTGTTTAGCCATTGAGACTAATCTGTCTGTTTCAAGACTTTTTTTTTTTTTTTTTTTGAGACAGAGTCTTGCTCAGTCACCCAGGCTGGAGTGCAGAGGCATAATCTCGGCTCACTGCAACCTTCACCTCCCAGGTTCAAGCAATTCTCCCTGCCTCAGCCTCCCGAGTAGATAGAATTACAGGCGCTCACCACCATACCTAGCTAATTTTTTTTTTGTATTTTTAGTAGAGACAGGGTTTCACCATGTTGGCCAGGCTGGTTTCGAACTCCTGACCTCAGATGATCCGCCCACCTTGGCCTCCCAAAGTGCTGGGATTACAGGCATGAACCACCGCCTGGCCTTGTTTTAAGAGATTTTTAAAGGACCTAGAGGGGGCGCTAGAGTGTGAGCAGGTTGGGTCTGGGGCTATGTGGTGACTGACAAAGAGACTTTGCCCTCAAGGACTCGAGGCTGCTGGGGAACCCTGCTCATCGGGGTCTCTCTCCACTGCACTATGGCCAGCTTGAGGGCAAGGATGGGGTCTTTTCATCTCTGTGTCACTAAGAGGAGATCAGCAGCATGTGTGGAAACTGGCAGATCACACCACAATGCAGAGAGGGCAGCAGGAGTCCAGATCCCAGCCATGAACTGTCGAGCTTCAGGCAGGGAGCAGTGGGAGTCCCAAAAACTTATGGGGGTTTCTCAGTCTCAGTGCTATTGATATTTGGGGCTGGACAGTTCTGTTGTGGGGGATGTCCTGTGCGGGGTAGGATGGTTAGCACTGTCTGTTGCCTCTGCCAGTAGCGTCTTCTCAACCAGTCATGACAACCTAAAGTGTCTCCAGACATCACCGAATGTCCCCTGGGGGCAAAGTCACCCCAGGTTGTGAACTGCTGGCTTAACTGAAGCAAACTTAACGAAGAAAGTGTTTGCAGAGGTGAGGCATGCAGGGACTGGCAACAGTGGGGAGCTATTGGCACCCCAAGGCCAAAGGGGTGAGAGACAGAATGGTGTTACTTGACCCAGAGATAGCTGGAGCCATATAAGTAAGGCTAAGACAGGAGTTGAGGCTGTGGAGAAATTCAGCCACTGCCAAAATTAAGGCATAACAGGGAGGGAGCTGGGGGTGGCATAAACACGCCCACTTCTCCCTCATCCTGCCCTTTTATCTCTGCCGATTCCTCCCCTTGGCTGAATGCATTGTGATGTCAGAAGGCACCGGTGCCTCCAGGCCACAGAGCAGGATGCGGTGGGTAAGCAGAGAAGAAACACCACAAGGAGGCAGGGGCAGGCCCCAGAAGACAGGACATTTGTGTACATCTTGGAGGATGTGTACTTTGGAGAAAGCTGGGAAGGAGTATCTCACCAGCGGGAAGAGCATGCATGAAGCCATGGAGTTCTGAGACAGCCTGGCTCCCTGCATTGTTTATTTAATTGTGATTGTTTGTTTGATTGACTGTGCTCTGTGTGCACGTGGTGAAAATAAAACATTTCAAAAGGTACAAAAGGGCATAAAATGAGAAGTAGGTCTTCCTCCCACCCTGACCCCAGCTACCCAGCCCCCCCACATCCCCCCGAAAGCCATCTTGCTCTCTGGTCTCTCATCGCCTTCCAGAAATAGTTAGTGCACATGCTAGCTTGTGTCACCTAAACTCCTAATTTGATTTAATTTCACGGGTGTTTGCAGAGCCCCTATTGTGTGCAAAGAAATGAACTGAGCTCTCTGGTCTCACACCCTACTCTGATCCACTAAGCACCGGCAGCTTCAGGCCCACCACGGCTGGCCTCCCATCTCTTTCTCTAAGCAGCGGGTAAGCCTGCTACAGTTATGTTGTTCAACTTATTTTATTTTATTTTGTTTTATTTTATTTTATTTTATTTTTTGAGATGGAGTCTTGCTCTGTCACTCAGGCTGGAGTGCAATGGTGCTATCTCAGCTCACTGCAACCTCCGCCTCCTGGGTTCAAGCGATTCTCCCACCTCAGCCTCCTGAGTAGCTGGGATTACAGGCGCCTGCCACTACACCTCGCTAATTTTTGTATTTTTAGTAGAGGCGGGTTTCACCATGTTGGTCAGGCTGGTCTCAAACTCCTGGCCTCAAGTGATCCACCTGTCTCAGCCTCCCAAAATGCTGGGATTACAGGCATGAGCCACCGTGTCCGGCCTCAATGGATGTTTTGTGGATTGGACTGAATTAAAACTGAACCATTGGTGAGAAGCAAATTATAACACAGGAGCACACATAAACCTTGGGTGTGGTTCAGGAGACCATGTGTTTTGGGGAGAGGAGTGAGGGTTCTGTCTCCAAAGGCTTGCTCTTGCTGGAGCCAATGGACAGTTGTCTAAGAAGGAAATGCCTATAGTGTGACCTAGAGGGGGCGCTAGAGTGTGAGCAGGTTGGGTCCTATCACCTTTGTGGGACTTGATCTGGCTTACATCAGTCCAGGGAAGACCGGATCTTGCCTGGCTACTCCCAGCTGGTGTCTGTAGCCCTTGGGGGAGTTTAAGGCCAGGAGAGGGGAGTTTCTGGCCAGCTGCTGAAATAGGGAACCCCATAACCAACATGTAAACTTGTTGGTGCCTAGAAGCAAGCAACCAAATCTGGTTCTCAGATGCCCAGGCGGAAGCCAGGAGGCCAGAGCAGCCCAGGTCTCCAGGAGCAGACAAGGACCAGGCTCTTCCTTGCCTGCCCTGCTCTTCCCTGCTGATCTCTCTTATTCTCTCAACACCTGGCTCTTTCCTGACAGTGCCTGTGTGTTGAGCACTTCAGGGCAAACACTTGCCTGCCATGATGGACCACCTTTCTGTGCAGATGCTGAGTACACACCAGCTCCCACTCCCACGGCTGCTTTGCAAGGACAGTGTTAATGATCCTCACTTTGTAAACAAGGAAAACTGAAGCTCAGAAAAGAGGGATGGAGGGCGGTAAGGTCGGGCATCCTACACATATGGTGATATCATTGGACATTTTGTGTTGAAGAACGATGGAGTGTTGAACACAGAATCACAGAATTTTACTTTATTTTATTTTTTGAGATGGAGTCTCAATCTGTCACTCAGGCTGGAGTGCAGTGGCGCAATCTTGGCTCAGGGCAACCTCCACCTCCTGGGTTCAAGGGATCCTCCTGCCTCAGCCTCCCGAGTTGCTGGGATCATAGGTGTGCACTACCAGGCCTTGCTAATTGTTTTGTGTTTTTAGTGGAGACGGGGTTTCACCATGTTGGCCAGGCTGGTCTCAAACTCCCGACCTCAAGTGATCTGCCCACCTTGGCCTCGCAAAGTACTGGGATTACAGGCATGAGCCACTGTGCCTGACCAAGAATTTTAGAATCATAAAATCCAGGAGTCCCGGACTCCCAGGTTACCAGTATAACCCACACTGCCACCAACTCCCTGTCCGTTTCCCACACTGTAAGTGAAATGTCTCTCTGGGGCCCACCTCCCAGCCACTCAGGCCTCTTCTTCGCTCACCTGGGGTCTTGTTCCAGACTTTTCTCTTGTTTCTCCTCCTTCCAAACCTGTACACAGCAGCCAGAGGCATCTTTCCAAACTACTAAGCAGATCGTGCCACTCTGCTCCCCCTTAAAACCCTTCCCTGGCTCCCCTTTGCCCTCAGGATAAAGTTCAAACTCCTTGACATGGTTTACTAGATTCTCAGTCATCTGGCCACAGTCTCTGGCCACTCCATCCCTCTTCTACCACCCCCCACCCCCAACTCTATACCAACCCATACAGAACTCGTTTTGTTTCACCAGATGTGCTGGATGCTGGCTGTCTCCCCTGACCCCTGGACCTTTGCACTGACTGTTCCCACTACCTGGAACACAGTCTACACCACCACCTCCTTCTCTGATTGAAGTACTCTCTCTTCTTGTTTGCTCTGGGGACAGTTTCTGCTCACATGCCTCCTGAATATCTGGGTTGGTGTTCCTTCCTTTACCACACTCCCCACTCCAGTTGCTGTGCTTAACCACGTGACAGAGGTCCCTGCAACATGTTTGCCCGTGTGTTTGCCTGTGTCCGCATCTGCTCATGAGCCACAGGAGGGCAGATATCAGGGTCATCTTTTCTCTACTGAATCCCTAGCACCCAGCACTGTGCCTGGCAGAGAAGAGTTGCTCAGCCAAGATATATGTTGATAAATGAAGTTTAAGATGTTAGAATCACAAGCTTTCAGAGCCATGGACTTGGTGAAACAGAAGCCTAAAGTCTCAAAATTATATAATCCTAGACTTAGCGTTAATTATGTGAAGAAATTGAGAATATCCGAATCTTAGGATCTCAAGGTTGAAAGAATTCTTATATAGGCATCTTGTCCAAGGACTATCAGTGGATTAGAAAGTTTTAATTGTGCCCTTCTATATTATTTAATGTATATTTTTACATTTATTTATATAAAAATAATACATTTGTCTCTCAAACATTTATTTTAATAAAAGTTTAGTTGGCGCCTAGTGAGTGAGAATGCACTCACCACAGTGGCCTCAAACATTTATTTTTATAATGTATCCTTCTATATTTATTAAGCACTTATTTATTAACCAATATTAATTGAGCCTATTTATTCTGTGACCAGCACATAGTTGTGCTAGGCAACTATGTGAGTCATCTATGGTTGCATAACTAATTACCTTGATTTTAAAACAGAAAACATGTATCATAGTTTCTGTGTGATAGGACTTCAAAAATGGCTTAGCTGGATGGTTCTGGCTTAGCTCTCTCATGAGGTTGTAGTCAAAATACCAGCTGGGACCACGATCCCCTGAAAGCTTGACTGGGGCTAGAGAATCCACTTTCAATTTGGCTCATTTGCATGGCTGGCAGTGTAGGAGGCCTCAGTTCCTCACATGTGGACCTTGCCATAGGATTGCTTGAGTGTCCTTACAACATGGCTGCTGGCTTCCCCAGAACAAGGGATTCAAGGTGGCAAGATGAAATCCACAATGCCTTTTATCATCTAGCCTCAAAAGTCACACTCCATCTTTTTCACAATATCCTAGTGATTACACAGGACAACGCTATTCAGTTTGGGAGGGGAGTACAAAAATGGTGGGAATACCAGGAAATGGGGATCACTGGGGGACATCTTGGAGGATGGCTACCACGGCAGCATTGAACAAGACTCAGAGTCTCTGCTCTTACGGAGTTAACAGTCTAGGGAGCGAAGGATAGAGGAAGACAATCAAACAAGACAATGAGTTAGAGCTGGAGTAAGCAAACTACATTCATGGGCCAAATCCAGCCTACTGCCTACTTTTGTAAATAAAGTTTTATTGGAACTCAGCCACACCCACTCACTTACATATTGCTTATGGCTGTTTTATGCTGTAAGAGCAGACTTAAGTAGTTGCAGCAGGGACTGTATATCCTGCAAAGCCTCATGTATTTAGCTAAGTGATCAGGGAAGGCCTCTCCAAGAGGCAACGTTTGAATAGGGACCTGAATGTTTAGAAGTGGCCATGGGAAGAGCTGAGGACAGAATGTTCCAGATAAAGGGAACATTAGGGTAAAGGCTGTGAAATGGGAACAGCTTTAGTGTGTTGAGGAACAGGGAGGAGCCCAAGGGGGCTGGAATAGAGTGACCATGGGGAGATGATCTCAGAGGCATGATCAGGAACCAGGTTCTGTAGGACCTTGGGGCCCTGGTGAAGAATTTAAAATTGTTCCAGGAACGATGGGAAGCCACTGGAAAGTTTTAAGCAGGGAGAGGTAGGATCTGATGGGGATGGTAGAGATGCCTGGTGTAGTTTGGTCCCATTCTTTGAGCAAGATGGTGCCTCTACTGGCCCCCTAAGTGCAGCTGTCCCGGAGCCTGTTCGTGTTGACAAGACTCAGGTAAAGACCTTTGGCATCATCCCACAATTACATGTTCAGGTCTTACCAATCCTTCTGACCTGGGAGTCCTTTCTTTTGACTCACTCTGAGTCCCTTGCCAGCCTGCCTCTTCTGGATCTAATAAATCTGTGAAGTTGGAAAGAACACTGAATTTTGAGCCCTGGGTTCCAGACCGTGCCCTTCCCTGACTTGCCCGCAACAGTCCGGCAGCCTCTCTGTGTCTCAGTTTCCTTGTCTGTAAAATGAGGGGAGAGTCCAGTCTGCCTGGCCCAAGACCAGGTGATTAAATGTCCTAGGAAGAGCAGAGCATGAAGGGCGTGTGGCAGCACAGGTTGGGGTGGACTTGGCCAGACTGGGGTTGCTGAGGTAAGCAGCGGGAAGTAGGGGTGGTTGGTACATTGGGAAGAAGGCTTCCTGCTAACCCTCCTCAGCTTGAGTTTTTTTTTTTTTTTTTTTCTTCGAGATGGAGTCTTCCTCTGTCTCCCAGGCTGTAGTGCAGTGGTGTGATCTTGGCTCACTGCAACCTCTGCCTACTGGGTTCAAGTGATTCTCCTGCCTCAGCCTCTCAAGTAGCTGGGATTATAGGTGCCTGCCACCTCATGCCTGGCTAATTTTTGTATTTTTGGTAGAGACAGGGTTTCATCATGTTGGCCAGGCTGGTCTTGAACTCCTGACCTCAGGTGATCTGCCCGCCTCGGTCTCCCAGAATGTTGGGATTACAGGTGTGAGCCACCGTGCTGGCCTGAGTTTTGAACAATAGGAGAGCTCACTGCCTCCCAGAGGCCCTTGGGATGGCGGAGTTGGAGTTGTCTGGTTGGGGTCAAGACCTTTGAGGGAGGAAGAGCCAGGGGGCTAATCCACGTCCACGTCAGCCTTAGGTGTTAGGAAGAGCACAGAATCTGTTGTCAGAGAGATCCCTGGCACCATCACTGATTTGCCCTGTGGCCTCTGTGGCCTCAGTTTTCTCATCTGTGAAATGGAGTAACCTGACCAGAGATGCTTCTGCTGTACACAGTACTAGCATTTTATATACCACTTAGAAAATACACTGCCAATTAATTATGACAATGCCTCCTTATCACTTAGAATTTTTATTTTCTGTAATTAAAAGGCTCTTTGAGACTTAGACGTAGTTTTTAAAATTATATATTGGCAGGGCACTGCAGCTTACACCTGTAATCCCAGCACTTTGGGAGGCCGAGGCGGGAGGAGGTCAGGAATTCAAGACCAGCCTGGCCAACATGGTGAAACCTTGTCTCTACTGAAAATACAAAAATTAGCCGGGTGTAGTGGCGGGCACCTTTTATTCCAACTACTCGGGAGGCTGAGGCAGGAGAATCACTGGAACCTGGGAGGTGGAGGCTACAGTGAGCGGAGATCTTGCCACTGCACTCCAGCCACTGCACTCCATCTCAAAAAATAAAACAAATAAAAAATAAATCGCCAGGCATGGTGGCTCGTGCCTGTAATTCCAGCACTTTGGGAGGCCGAGGTGGGCAGATCACTTGAGGTCAGGAGTTCGAGACCAGCCTGGTTAACATAGTGAAACCCCATCTTCATTAAAAATACAAAAATTAGCCAGATGTGGTGGCGTGCACTTGTAGTTCCAGCTACTCGGGAGGCTGAGGCAGGAGAATTGCTTGAACCGGGAAAGTGGAGGTTGCAGTGAGCCAAGATCATGCTATTACACTCCAGCCTGGGCGACAGGGCAAGATCTCTGTCTCAAGAAAATAAAAAATCATGTATCACCCTTGTGCACACATAAACAGGAAAATCTGGGTAAGATAGATTAGGTAAGGAATTTCAAAATTTCACAGTCAGCATCCAGCCCATTGAGGTTACTTTTCTGCTCAGAATCTTCATTGTCCATATTTCCACGCAATATTGTCTTCCATTCCATTAAATGCTTTGTTCATGCAGCGCTGCTTCTTTTTTTTTTTTCTGAGACAGAGTCTCACTCTGTCGCCCAGGCTGGAATGCAGTGGTGTGATCCTGGCTCACTGCAAGCTCTGCCTCCTGCGTTCATGCCATTCTCCTGCCTCAGCTTCCTGAGTAGCTAGGACTACAGGTGCCCACCACTGCGCCCGCTCCCACGCCCAGCTAATTTTTTTTTTTTTTGTATTTTTAGTAGAGACGGGGTATCACTGTGTTAGCCAGGATGGTCTCGATCTCCTGACCTCGTGATTCGCCCA